GCCTGCCCGCAGGCCCTTTCTCCACTCAAGGCGGCAGGTTACATCAGCTTGGCTTTGACTCAGGCAGCTGCCTGGCCGAGTGCTAGCTGTGCAAGTCCAAGCAAAACCAGAATACACCCCATGAGTAGACCGGTACCCTGCCGACCAGCACGAACAGGTTTTGCAGCCTCTTCTTCTGCCTGTTTATTCTGCTTTATCAGTGTCTCTCTTGGCAGTGCTCAGCGGTGACTACAACCATCCAGACATAATCTCACCATTCACTTCCTCAGTCACTCACAATGATTATGACTAACATTTATCGAATCCTATTATGAGGCAGGTAGTAAGTGTGTTAGACGTACTATTTTACTTGATCCTCACCAGCCGATCATTATCCCCATTTTGCAGAGGCATAAACTAAGATTTGCTGACATAAATCACCTACCTGGTAAGTAGCAGCTGGGACCGGAACGCGAGCAGTGACTCACTCAGGTGACAGTGCTTAGTTTGGGAATGCGTTGAATACATAGACCCCAAGCCCTGAGCTGCATGCCTTAAAAGGACTAACTTTATGGCATATGAACTATATCAATAAAAAAAATGAATGGACAGAAATTTTCATTGGGATGTTTACTAGTTTCCTAAGAATTTAGTTAACCAGTTTCTCCAGGTGTAAATCAGCTCACAAAAATTAAAAGGCCTCTTAAAAAGAAAGGAAGAGTGAAGGGTCTCAGACATATTTGTAGTCGAATAGCACTAGGCCCAACCTCAATCCTATCCCTGCCATGGATGACAGTTTCAGGCTTCTCTCCCAGCTCGTGGGGATTGAGTACTTGGGGTTCTAAGGAAAGGCCACTGGACCTGGGGCAAGCTGACCTTGATAGGTCACAGTGGATAATATGTACAGAATTCCATGGGGGTTGGGGTGGGGTCAGCAGGCACTGATCCTGAGAGCCCACATGGGGTTTCCTCCTTCTTACCCCTCCAGGCTCTTGCTGGGGTTTCTACTTCCACAGGGAAAGGAGGACCTATCCTCTTCCCCACCTGCCTCGGTGGGGCTGGGATTCCCGAACCAGGTCAGCCCCTAAGCCATGACTGGGCCCTCCCCTCCCCCTGGCACTGGGTTCTGGCCCACGCCCAGCGCTGTCCTTATAGGCAGCTCTGTGCCCACAGGGGCCACGTTGCTATGGTGATTCCACTACCCACACAGTGTCCAGGGAGACAGCACGGTGTAGCTGGTGCTGTTTGCAAGACTTGCGGAAACCGGACTGGGAAGATTCCGGAAAGGGTCAGAGGGAGTGGGGGATGGGAGCCAAGTGTAACTGCTTTCCTAGCAGTAGCTCTCTGTGTGCGTGCATGTGTGCGTGCGTGTGCACACTCTCCTGTCCAAGTTATAACAACTCTTCTGAGAGATGCATGATGTCGTGATTGTCACAGTTTTCTTCCTGAACTGGCATTCACAGTTTATCACTGTGTTGCATCTGGATATTGAAAAATGAAAAGGAACAAAAAGTGGCATTCATGTGATAGTAGAACAGACTGAATTGTGACTTCTATTGCTCCACGTGGAAGCTGGCTTATATGGTCTACCTTGTCCCTTGTCCTATTATATTTCCTACAGAACAGAGAAACTGGTTAACTAAATTCTTAGGAAACTAGTAAACATCCCAATGGAGAGAAAGGTGACAAACTATGAGGCCCACCCTGCCACCCGGCTTCTCCGACCCCTACACGTGCACCCCCTGTGCTCCAGGTGTCTCTGTCTGATCAGCTGTCTGACTCGTCTTGCTCAACCCATAGCAGGATTTGCTATGCTTATTTTACAGATGACAAGAGTGAGGCTGGGGGAGGTTAAGTCACTGCCATCCTCAGGGGCCGGTCAGTGGGAGATGTGGGAGTGGAGCTTGGTTGTTAAGATCTGGACTTAGGGCACAGATGGCCCTGCTACGTCCTTCTCCCTCTTCCTCTCAGTGGGAGCTTATGGGGGCAGCCTTGTAGGCCTGAGGAGAACAGGAAAAGAAAGGAGCCACCCCCTACCTCCAGTCTAGCAGGTTCAAGCCAAACATACCCACTGGGGACTGACTGGTGTTTGGACCCCAAGTTCAATGCTTTTGGTTCCCCTTCCTGGGTGACACTGGGAATTGCTAAATAAATGACCCCAGTCCTAACCCATGCCCACATCTGTGCTGACCCAGTTCAATCTGGAGTAGTTAATCTATGCCTTCTCCCCACAGCCATGGATGTGGGCTTTCATTTGCAAAGTCTCTGAAACAGCCTGACTGCAAATAAGTGAATCTTCAGGGGTGGTGAGAACCGGGTCCTAACATCTTTCCGAGTCCTCGTGTTCGGCACTAATGCTGATTTGTAAAGCGCTTTATGATTTATTCATAGTGCCTTGCCAGGCTTCCCAGGACAACCTTCCCCTCACACAAATGAGTGCAACTCCAAGAATAAAATGTCAGACTTCATTAAAAGAAAAAATACTCTGGTGTGGGGATGTCCCTTCTACTGCTCCCTAGTCTGCGTCACCCAGGGTTTGGAGGATTCAGGTCAAACTCCTGTGCTTTAACCGCCTGTGGCTAGGGAGCACAGAGAGATGTCAGGCGCTTCTTTCTGCAGGGGCAAAGATTCTCCCAGGATAGGTCTCCACTCTGTCGCACCTGAGACCTGAACTTGGGCCAGTGCATGTGTCCCCAGGAGGCAGGCAGTGATGAGGGACCAGAGGAGGGACCCCTGGGGTCTGAGCTCACTCCCCTGTTTCTCTGCTGGGAGACCGGGGCAGGTCCTTCAGCTCTCAGGGATGCCTTTGAGGGATCAGAGTGTGAATCAGCAGTTGCGAGCTAGCCCGGTAACACTTTCATTATTCTCCTCATCATGGTCTCCTCAAATGTGGGAAGGGTACCCTCCAACAGAGAGGGAAGAAGGAAATCCTCCTCTCCTCGCTTAGCCTTACTTAGGCCTCCCCCAGGAGAGCTGACCACAGACAAACATGGTGCTCGTGAAATTACCACAGGGCACAGAAGTCAGGTGATGCAGAAACGAGGGACTTCATGGCCTTCATGCTCTAGACCCAGCAAGACTCTGCGAGCTGCGTCCTCTCCCTCCAGCCAGAGCATCGTGCTCTAGAGGGGGAAATGGTGAAGCCACACCCACAGGACTTTGGAGCCTCTCAACTTCTTTGGAAGCTGACTCCAGGCATCCTGATGCCAGATTCTTGAATTTACCCTCTTGAGCCCCACAAGGGCAGAATAAAACAGGGGTGGGGATAGTGATGGATCGGGAATAAAAAGCTGAGTAGAAGCTTGAACCAAGTGAGCCCTGAGCACTGGGGTTTGACTGTCCTCCAGGTTCACCCCAGAGAGGAGGGGTGCCTGGGCACCCTGTGACCTCACTACTCCTCTGGGGTTTCAGGGACGTGGCCACACACTGCTCAAATGGAAACTTTTGTTGGACAAAATAAGTGTTCTGTGGACATCTCACTAGCTGGACAGCTCACACTAAAGTCACTGGTAACAGGAACAATCTCTTGAGACTGGGTACCAGTCCAACCTAGGGGAGTTAGGGGAGCATTATCATGGAGCGCAGATGATTCTGGGGGCTTCCGCCTTTTCCCAGGGGCTTGCCTCCTTGCCACATGCCACATTCAGGATCTGACACCATCCTGAATTCCATAGTGTGGGTGGTGACCAGCAGCAGGTTCTATTTTATTTTTGTTTTTTAAAATTAATTAATTAATTATATTTCACATCATCGTTCCTTTTTAAACAACATTTGCTTTTTTTAGAGGTCCTCATTACCCTTCACCGCCAACATTCAACCAATCGTTGTCCAGTAGTGGGCAACACTGAGCCTTGGGAGCAGCAAATGCAATCTATAAGAGACTTCTTTGCAAAAAAGGGCTACATGGCTCTGAACATCTTTACAAGAAAATAGCAACAACAAAAGAGTTTAGCTTTTAGATTAATCTGGTTAATGTCTGTCCCTTCATCATCCTATGTATCTCTGCTCCTCCAGGTGAAGAATTGGATGAATGATTGCATTTGGGACAACAGAGCAGGTCAAATGGTTAATCCAATTTTGAGAGAGCACAATAGTCAAGGTCCAGAACTAAATCCCAACTGATGATCCTCAACTTAAAAATTAAGCTGATGATACTTTCAACTGAGAGTTAATTCTACACAATTGCTAATAGTTACGTATAAACTCGTTAAAAGAAATCACCACTACTACCACCGCCACACCACCAAGTAGGCAACAAAATCATAAAACATATTATGTATTTTCCAAGACACAATTTCTAAAATATAGCAAAATAAGTCAGACAGTCTTGGGCTTCCTTCAATACATGCATTCTCAGCAGAGGTGACATGGTTCCCAAAGGGGTAAACATTGGTTCTTGAATGTGAAAAAATATTATGCTTTTTATGTATAAACTATAGAAATGCATATAGCATGAGAAATACAGTATAGCTTTGGTACTAAAATTTCATGAGAGGATAATTAGAAAAAAGCCTAAAAAACTCCTTAAGCAGGACAATAAGGAATAGGAATCAAGGTTAAGAAACAATGTTTAAATAGGAAATAACAGTTATGATCTTTACTAGCTGATTGGAAGTCATCCACACAGACACCTCTCATTGTGTTCTGTTGTAGTTACTGAGGATGATGGGAGGATTTGCTCCTTCTTACACAGCTCTGACCCTGACCCCAGAGCTAATCCTTTTGTGGTTGGTAATTTCTCTATCTCCCACTTTCTAGGTTATGCAATCAGTTCTCAGGAGGCTATCTTCTAGCAGTGGCCTGTTAAATCCACGATCTGAGTTTTACAGGCAACATTTCAATCCATTCTGATCTCAAAGCAACACCCCATTACTCCGCTGAAATGCCTGGATGCCTGAATGGCTTGTCATCTGTCTGTCCAGGTGTTTCATGCATTCCTGGGTTTGTATCTCCGTTAGTGATGATGGAGATCACCGAGAAACCCCGTCTCACAGACCACTATGAGATGCAGCATAACTTACAGTGCATAGTGTTTCAAAAGTCTTTTCAGAGACGAAGGATCCATCAAGGCCAAAGAGAAATATGGATGCATAGGAGAGCATTCCTCCAAGGATAATAAGGTTGTTCATATACGGGCTCGACATCTTTATCAGCCTGACAAGAGAAGGAGGCGGTATAGTCAACAGGACTGTAAATATACTTATTCCTTCTACACGTATTCCTGAGTGCCTATGTTGGTGCCAGACTAGCAGGGGAGAGAAAAATGTAAACCTGGACTTCCACTGCCCCTCCCCAAGACTGTGCTGCCCCCTAGGGGTATTCCATCTTCTCTAGAGAATCCTTGGCAGTTATGTTTCTCATTGATGATTTTTCTGCTCCTCAGTCAAGTTCACCTATCACTTCTCTAGAAATAGCTTATAGCATTAGCTTCCACAACCACTAATTTTCAGTTTAAAGACATTAAGTCAAAAGTTGTTTTTTTTTTTTTGACTGGGGTTGAAATACATGCCAAATCTAGAGAATTCTACATTTAAGTTCAGTGAGGGGGGTAGATGGCCACACCACATCTCCCCTGCTAAGTATACCAGGCTAGGAAGTTTACAGATGAGAATTCATCTCGGGAATTGTGGTCACCAGGGATGAGTGAGCCTCCACTTTGGCTGCCAGAAGTTCATTTTGTCCATGCATGGAGGACCACACCGCAGGTAGGAACATATCCCCCAGTCACCAGGTGATAGAGGTGGACAATGGTGCCCCATCCCATCCCTTGCCCTCCTGTCTTCACCAGGCTGCTGATGGGAGCATTTCTTATATTCCCAAACCCTTGATGTTTCTCTCTTACTTTCTTTAGGAATCCTGCTGTGGCTCCCAGCTTCCCAGCAAGCCAGGACTGGGTTAAACCGTCAGCCAGCTGGAGTTTGCCTTCAGCGGTGCCTGGCTTCCCTAGCACAAACCACTCAATTGTCCCCTAAGCATTTTCTGTTGTATATTTCAGCTCTTTTAATCCTCCCATATTTAAAAAATATAATATATCTAAGTGGTGGACAGATATGTCTGTTGCAAGCTGTGGACACGCATGGGCTTTCAAGTTGGGAGCACTAGGTCCAGTGTTGGGTCTCTGCCACCTGCAGAGGTGCCCCCTCGGCAGGTCACTTATACTGGCTGCTTCCTCACATGTGGGCCAGGAGCACAGATCACACCACCCAGGGCACATGGAAAGCTGCAGTGAGACTGGGACCCTGATCAACCATCAACTGCTAAACAACCTTCATTCTGATTACCACTGGAAGCTGCCCCATATCAGAGATATCAGAGATATCAGAGCCGGGCAGGCTTCCTGGAAGAAGTAGACCTTAATGGATGGGGACTATTTAGAAACACAGCAGTAAAGGGGCATTTGGAACCACAGTGGCATTGACTTCCTATCTCCTGGCAGATTTTTAAATCTGTAAAGCTAGTCAAAAATGATGGATGCCAGACTACTGGAAAGACTAACAGTCATTTCCCCCAGGAGGCCAAAAGGGATTAGTTAAGGAATTAAGGAAGTTTAGTCTTATGAGAGGGACAACTGGCCATTATGGAGATTCTTGATGCTTGCAGGAGGGGATCTACCCTTAATCACAAGCTGACTCTGTGTCTAGGCCTTGCGCTAAGTGCTCTCAGGTCTGCTCACCACTTTGAGTTTGAGGCAGTATATGTGTTATTGGAGATAAATACAGTAAAATTCTTTTTTGATTTCCAGGAAACAGATTTACCAAAGCAATTGTTACCCCCCACCCCCAAACAAATAAACAAACATACTGAAAATGACAAGAAATCCTCTGCTGCAAGCAAGGAGAGGAAAAATAACATTGTTCTTAGAATAAGGCCAGTTCTTGGCTCCCAGGGAGGTTACCCAGTGTGGCTTCTGGGCACAATGGCAGGGCCTGGATGTGTGTGAGTGGGCACAAGGCTGTATCCCCGATCATGCCCCTCCACCCTGCTCTGAGCCCTCTGCTCAGCTGCTCCCACAAGGCAGGGAGCTGGATCTGGGGATTTGCTATGGAAACCAAAGTAGCTGGCTGTGTTTGGCAAATACCATGGCATGGGGTGGGGGCTGTTTTACCCAAAACTAACCACACTAACTCAGAGAGGGAGCTGCTGTCCGCCAGCAGCAGACTGAAGGGCCCCTGTGGGTGAGGAGGAATCAAGGTCAGAAACAAAGGGGAAGGTCCTGCCTCAGGCAGCACCGTGGCCTTGCAAAGCAGCCAGGGAGCTGGGCTCTGGTGCTCTCCAGTGAGATCTGGGGAGGTAGCCTGAGGGTGAACTGAGATGATGCAAGGCAGGGGCTCCTTGGACTGTAACAAGCTGCACTGAGGCCTGGTGCTCAGTATCAGCTCATCGACCCCTTCCATAGTGCTTCCCGAAGGTGTTGGGAAAGACAACTGGCAGAATTCTGTCTTCTCTCTGTCTCCCCGTGGACCACTATGAACATATTTTATTTAACCTAGATTTCCTGGGCACTCAGCAGTCCTGCCTGTGTATGTGTGTGAATGTGCACCAAACATCCAGAAACATCCCAGTGACTGAGTGGCACACTTCAGAAAACTTGTGTGCCCCTGGAATCAGTCAAGCTCTGTTCCTACGCTTTGTCCATGAGGCTTGTCAGTCCTGAAAGGGTTATCCAAGAGGAGGACATGAGCAGCTGGCTTACTTCTGATTTCGATTCTTGATGTTGAAGAAGAGAAAAGCACTGGCCATGATCATTCCCAGGATGGTGAGGGCAGAGAGGATGCTATAGAGAGGTAGGGAGATCTTACGGAGCTGCTCCAAGATGATGGTTTTGTCTTTTGGTGGTTCAGATCCTGGAAGGCCAAGGAAAAGACATCAGCAGAGCCCAGCGCAGTCAGTCCCTGAGAACATCTCTGTCCAATGCCCTTGACCCTGGGCATGAACTCTGTCCAGCACACATCTACTGGGGGAGTGGGCTCCGGCAGTTGGCTGGCCGGCCCAGCAAGGAGCCTTAGCCAGATCTTATTTCTTTCTCTAAATAGAATCAATAAGGGATTTGTGATGCATTTAATAGTCATTAGAAGACTAGGATTTGATTTGGTCTAATTGTGCTGTTGAAAAACCATCACCATTTATCCCCAAAGGTAACAGTGACTTGGAAGACATGGGCTAGATGCTGTGAGTAGGTTGAGCTGGGTGCCACTGGGGCGATAAACTTGGCTGTGGTCTCAAGGACTGTGCAACATACATGATAATGACCACCTCTCAAAAGGGCAGCCACCTTGCTTGTCAATTCCACGGAGGTGTGTATGTGATCTGGGTGTGGATTGTCTGCCTCAAGGTCATTATGTTATAAATGCTCTTTCTGGCTTTCCATTTTTGGAAGGTTGGCTAGCTGTGGGAAGTACAAGTTCCCAGCATGCCTTCCCCTCCCTGCTGCCAGGACTGGACTAAAACTGTGGGGCTTCAGTTCTCCGTGTGACTGTAGACATGTCCCCACTCATTCTGCAAGGGCACTAGGAATCTTGGGGTGCCCCAAGGGCCTCAGAACAAACTCATTTCTGAGTTTGCAAAACTGAGTGACAAAATTATCCTGTTTCAATGTTACCTGGCACCGAAGGGGTACAGGGACTAACTTCCCTTTTTTTCCTCCCTCCACGCTCTCACTAACCCCTTCTTTCTTATCTATTTCAGGTCAGGTTCCTGTGGTGGAATTTTGAACTTATGGGATTTTTCCTTCAGGTGGAGACATATGGGATCAACCAGCTGCCGGGGAGTGGCCAAACCCGGAGCCCAGGAGACCCACCAGCTGATGACCCTGCCCCTGCTGTGGCACAGGTGCCAGCCTCAAGGATGCCTCTGTTCCCGGGAGGCAAGCAGAGGACGGGCAGATGCCAGAGCAGGGTTTGAGAACTCCTCTGAACATCTGTGCTTAAAAAAAAAGTCTGCTAGCAAGTTCAAATGTGTTTGGAAACAGTCAGTGGATAAAAAGAGTTTGAGCCATCTACGCAGTCAAGGGAAGCTGCCAGGTTTGAGAACAGCTAGGAAGCTGCTGGCATGGTTAATGGAAAGCTTCAAGTAATTCTATGTAAAATCGCATTTATAAGGTTTCAAGGGCCAAAAGTCAGGGCAAAAGCAGATACTGGGTGACAGAGGGAGCACTGCTTCTTACTTTCAGAAGTGAAATCTTAACATCTAGAAACTTCTTTCTCCATTCTCCTTTATCTCCCCATCTCCTGCAAGCATAGCCTGGGCTGCTTTAGGTAGACTTAGGTGTCTTCTGACTCCCAAACACAAGAGCAGTCCTGGGGGTACCCAGGAATTCTTAGTTGGAAATAAGCCCTTCTCTGGGTTCCAAGAAAGGGGCCTGGGGTTTGAATCAAACCTCAAATGACAAGTTTATATGACAACTATGACCACCAGCTGTGTAGAAACAACTTTAGAATACTGACAACATCTTTTCCTTATTCCATCTCCCCTGCTCTCACTATGGCGTCTCCGCATTGTACATCTTTTTTTTTTTTTTTTAAAGATTTATTTATTTATACAAGAACCAGGGTACAGGCCAGATGCGCGGGAGGGTGAGAGGATTCACCAGAGAGAGTGGGGAGCAAAACAGGCAGACTGACAAAACACACTGCCGAGGGGAGCAGCGGGCGAGACAAGAGAGGTCTGCCACACCATGTGGGATTCTTGCAGGCTAGTCAGGATGGAACTCACGCTGTAGAGGCTGTGGACAGCTTCACAGTGCAGCGTTCAACCGCCTGTGTGCCTGTGCCACCAGGGAGGCCTTGCATTGTACATCTTAACTAAGATATTATGGGAGCTAAAGAGTGAAGGCCATCAGAAGTATTGGTAATGGCAGCAGCCCTGGGTTTTCCTTCTTGCTTCTCAGCCAATCCGTTCATTCACTGTTGATCTATTCATCACCACTCCTTTATCCACTACCATTCCTTCACCAGCTTTAATGGTGATCAATCATCGTCATCACCTCCCACTTGCTAGGCCTGCTGCTGGGTAACTAGTGATTCGAAAATAAGCAAGACACAATCCCTGTCCTCAAGGAACTTCCATGCTAGTCATGAAAAATCACATTGATTGACTGCTTGCCATGGACTAAGCACTCTGTAGAGATTTTCGCACTTGATCCACCAACAGCCTCATGTCTAGATAAGATCATTCCCATTTTATAGCTTGTGTGGGAGTAGGGGTAGGAATTTTACAGGCATCAAGTAGTTTTTGTAGTTAGTGAGTGACAATGCTGGCAGAATTTGAACCCAGATCTGCCTAACTCTGAAGCCTGTGTTCTAACCACTGTGTGAACTGCCTCCTGTCACCTAGCTCAGGTGGTTGATAACATCAAGCACAGGGAGACACAAGGCAGGAAGCAGAGTGTAGTTTTGCCCAAAGGAGTCAGAAAAGGCTACAGAAAGGGAAGCTGAGCCTCTGAAGATGAGTAGGAACACCCAGGAAGACCTGGAGGAAGGGCATTCTGGGCCCCCGCAGAGGCAAAGGCATGGTGGTGTCTCTGCACATTTAAGAAATTTCAAGCAGTTTGGCTGGGAGATAAAGATGAGACAGAGAGGGAGGAGGGGTTCCTTTATAGAGGCTTTGGGGTCACATCATGGTATGGGCTAATGTTCTGAGCAGAGGTGGGGCATCTTCAGCATGGCTTTGGCTATTGAGAACAGACTGGACTTGAGGGTGTTAATACTGGCTAAGTCCATCTACCACCCATCCAACCAAACACCCACTCATGTATGCATGCATGCATATATCCATCCATCCATCCACCCATCCATCCATCCATCCACTCATTACCCACCCACCCATTCATCTACCCACTACTTCATTGACTCATATGTTCACTTGTTCATTCATTTATTCACCCATCTACTCAGCTACTCATTTTATCAGTCTTGTGTTCATTTTTTTTTTAAATCAAATATCACTGAACTTCTAACACATGCTTGACCCTGGCTGATGCCAGGAATTTGAAGTCAAACAGAATCTCGTCAGGGAGTTCACTGTCCAAAAATACAGACATTTCAATGCAATGTGACAGTGATCATGGGGCCATAGGAAAGGAAGACAGAAAAGACTGTATAAGCAAAGACAAGGGAGTCATTAGCTTAGTTGGGATTAATCAGGGAAGACTGCACAGAAGAAGTGTCATTTGATCTGGCCCTAGAAGATACAGAGAAGTTCTTTAGCAGAAGAAGAGGAGAATGGTCTTCCAGGAAAAGAAATGGGAGGGGAGGTCAAGTCCTTCCCCAGAGGAGAAGACAGGGCTAAATTTAGCTGGGACACAATTAAAAGAATTACTCTGGGTCATCCAATGGTTTAAGCGCAGATGTCTTGGTGATGGCATCCCATGCATACTCCAGTGACCCATTCCAGGGGCTAGAACCCAGCTCCAAGTGACAGAGGTTCTGGGCACAGTGAGAGTGTATTTGCTAAGAGGGAGGGATTTTTTTTCCCCCCCAAGAAGCCAAGGAATCTGAGCTTATCCCTAAGTCTCAGACAATATACAGACTTGAAGCAACTGAGTAGGTCCCTTGCTCCAAGAAGTTCATCTGTCTTACCTTGGAATCTGATGGTGTCATTGATGATCTCCAGGGTGTCAGCCACAGCGTTGTATTCTCCCACCTTCACCTCTCTGCTGTCTGTAGGGAGCACGAGAGAGTGTCAGGTTAGAGCCAAGTCCTGTGCTTCTGCCTGGCTGCTCCTATCCCAGCTCTTGCTCTGCTCACCAGCCCTGGCCTTTCCTTTCCCCAGTGCCTCCTCCAGGTAGAATCACAAAAGCTGAACACCTCTCATGCCATCTCATCCACTGCTTATGTGTCTTTTGCTGTACACTGTATGGATGGGGTGCCACTCCCCTGATAGCTGGACTCTGCCTGTAACCAAGGGAACCAGGTCAGGTCACTGAGCTGTACAGTCTCTGTAACTTTTCCTGTCACCTGGCTCTGCCCTCTAGGATCACACAGACTCTGTCTGCTTACTCGGCCCAGAACAGATGATAACCATCCCCCTCTCCCAGCCTGTGACCCTACCTTACAGAACACCTTTTCTACTTCCCACCCCATCCAGGCCCCTCCTTGAGCCTCACCCATAATAGAGTTTAAGCATAGTTAACACAGGTAAACAGAGCATGGGCCAAGGACTGAACAGGGTACTTCAGGCATGATCTGGTCAGTCTGGTCAGCGAGTAAAGGAGACCATTTTCTACTTCATTCTGGGTGTTATATTCCTACCAATGTATCCTGAGATGATTGTTTCTGCTAGTGCATCTATCATCTTCAGAGCTCACATTGCTCCACCGTGTCACATCAGGCACAGTCTCCTTCATATGCACTTGCTCAGGTATATTCTCAGACTTAAGAGGTACATCTGACTAAACTTCATCCTCATTACTATTCTGTGGGTATGTTCAGGTTACTGTTTTGGTCATTGCCAGGGATTAAGATGATGAGAACTGGCCCGGGGTGGTGGCAGGAGGAATGAAGATGGGGAGATGAGATTTGACAAAGTTTTTTTTTTCCAGGTAAAATATGGACAACTGAGTGATCAGAGGGGTAGGGAAGAGAGAAAACAGGGGAGTGAAGCAAGTGACTGGGGGGCCCAGGTGCCAGAAACCAAGGAAGGGGTCAAGAAGGAGGGCAGATGACAAGTTCCTATTTGGACATCCTGTGCCTGAGAAGCCTGTGGGTCATCGAGGTGGAGATGTCCTTGATCTGGGATGGGGAGAGATCTGGGATGGGGAGAGATCTAGGATGGGGAGAGAGTTGGGGGTCATCAGCATGGAGGCTGGGAGTTGGAGCAGGGGACAAGGTGGAGATTCCCAGGGAAAGAGTCAAGTGAGGAGGGAAGAGGATCCAGGGCAAAATCCTGGGGAGAGCCAGCCTTTGGAGGGGGCCAGAGCCTGGAGGCTGCAAGAAAACTGGGAAGGAGTGGTCAGGAGGCTGGCACCAGGATGCCAGGGAAAGGACCAGCTGCAGCAAACTACTAAGAGACTAAGATGACAAGGCCCTGGAGCAGGGGGTGGAGGGTAGGGGGAAAGTCTATTTGGCATGTGGCAGGATATTGCTGACTACAGATGAAGCAGATCTGGGGTAAGATTTGGGGGATAGAGGTAGAGAGCCACTGGCAAGGTGTTTGGGTGGAAAATGGAATCCCCAGGGTACAACACACTTTGACAGGTTGTGGAGTGGGAGGGAAGGGGCCAGGGGATTATCTGAGCCCCTACAGTGTGCCTGGATCTGTGCTAGGAATTGCATGTCCCTTTTCTTGTTTGGTGTGTGGTGTGGTGGTTTCAGTCCCTACTGGTGTCAGCACAGATGAAGAAACAGGCTCGATAGGTGGTCAGGATGACCACCTATACAGACTCAACCCAGGACGTGCCCTGACACATGGCTGCCTCCGTGGGACCTTGAGAGCTGACAGTTCAGTGCAGAACTACCCTCTACATCCACGTTTCAGCCCCCAGTGCTTCCTGCGTGTAATAACTGCAGAGACCACCTGTCCCCAGATGAAGGCCTGACCCTCAGGGGGCTCCAGAGCTGCAGAGCATGGTCTCGATGTGCCCAGAATTTATAAAGTGACACAAGCCGGAATTCCAGGTATGCATCCCAAGGAACTGCCTGCTGGGGCTCTGGTTCTAAGTGCAATTCTTTGCTGAAATGCAGTGTGCTGCTGGCCCCTTATAAACATTCAGGAAGCAGAAAGCAGAATCCCAGAGGCCGCATGTCTGCCTGTGTGCCTGAGACTCTGTGGAGCAAAATCGGGCTGTAAAAGTCACTTCCTTCTCCCTCAAAGGTCTCCCTGCCTCACACTGAGCAGAAGGCTGTCACTCGCCTGGGTCACCTAGCTCCTAAATGTCACATTAGCAGACTCTGCTGGGAGTTCCTGCATCCCTCTTCTGGCCTTTTGAAGCCTTTGGCACTAGTCAGCTCCGACCGCTCAGAGGAGGAGGCCCTGATTTATTTATTTGGTGTGAGGAGGCAGCACATGAAATATGTAGGCTGGCTGGGATAAATCATCAGGAGCTGGGAAGTGGTGTGGCCGCCACCCCAGGCTGCCCCTCTGACCCACATGCCTCACTGTACATCCATCCTGTGGCACTAAGTACTCTGCCTCCCACAATGGCCATAATCACCATAATGACTCCTTGGGGCTGTGCCTGGAGGCTCACAGCACTTCACATGCTCCTGCATTGAAGGCACACTGAAGGCAAACTGTGAGTCAGGCCTCATTCTCCCCGGTCCAGAGATGAGGGAGGAGCTGTGGGTTAGGAGAAGCCTCAGAGCCACATGCTGTGCTACTGGACAGAGCACAAGAGGGCACCGGAACTTGGGTCCCCGGGTTCTGCATTCAAAGCCTGCGCATACTGCTGGTCATTCAGCCCACATTTATTGAGTGCCCATTGCATATCTCCTCATCTTTATCTGCAGTGGCCTCGGACAATCTCTGCACTGAGGGATGCTTACGCTAAATCCTTTAGTTTGATCACTTCCCTCCCTCCCTTCCTCCCTTTCTTTCTTCTTTCCTCCCTTCCTTCCAGAAACATTGATTGGACATCCATTAAGAACCAGGCTCTATGCTGGAGCCTGTAAGTACACAGATTAAAAATAAAATTCGGAATCTCTGACCCTATAATTTAGTGACTGCAGCCTCACCAGCCCTGGAATTATTCAATTTGCAGATTCTATTTCCCTTCCAGCCTGCACCTTGTGACAGGTAGTCATAACAGTAAAATGGCAACTTTAAGAGTAGTCCTAAGGCTAAAGAGGAGAACAGAGGCAGTTTCTGGCTGAGAGATAACTTGTAGTCATTGTTCAACAAATTGTAGTTATTTGAGTCATGGTAAAAGTTACTGGGAATGATTTGCTGGGTCCCCATTCACCCCCTTCTCTTATACCATCATAACCTGTAATGGTCCCTCTACTTGGAAGGTGGTCTCCCCTTCCTCTTTCAAACCAACATGCCCAAACCCTTCCCATCTCTTCCAGAAAGCCTTCCCTGAGTACTGCTCTTCCCTTCCAGCACCCCAGTTGCTGTGGGTTCAGGGTACCTGGTGACAGTTCCTATTGTTGGAGCTTTGCTCAGGTCTTATGATTCCTGGGTAGAATGTGAAGCCTTGCTTCTGAAGTCCCAGAGCATAGGGTCTCACTCCCCATGTTCTATCCAGGGACCCTCCTGGTCTGTGGGTGGACAGTACCTCTGTGTTCTTCCATTCACCCATGGCCCAGAGTGGGGAAGAGGGTGACTACTACAGACACCCAGCAGGTCCAACTTTTAACTCTTGGGCTTCTAATAAACATCTTTGTGCAAACAACATTAACTGCTCATAAGAATACTGATTGGATCTTGCAGAGTGTGGATCTTCTGGAAAGATCCATAGGATGGGTAGGGTGGTTGGGGGGAATCGAGCAGAGGGGGAGAGGCTGTGAGGTCACCGGCTGACCTGCCCATGAGCCCTGCTGCAGTGCCATGGACTATCTGTATGACCTGGACAACCCAGTCCCTTGTTCCGGGCCTCAATTTCTCTATCTGCAAACTGCACTGCAGGGATTCCAGTGGCTCTCATCCCTGGGTGGGCATTAGAGTCACCTGGGAAACTTCTGGAAAATACAGATGCCTGGTGCCAACATAAACCTGCATATTAGAGACCCTGAGGGACTGAGGGATGGATCCTGGGTATCAGTACTTTAAAAGTTCCCTAAAGTGACCCTCATGAGTTTCCAGAGGAGAAAAACCACAAGAGTAGACTGAGGGCCTGCCAATATTGGCACTTTCTGTTCCAGAGGCTAAAATTACTGTGAGACTAAGAGCCCCTTTTCCTGCAGTATGGTTCCTAGTTGTGGGGCAAAAAGGGTGTGTTCCCTTTAAAAAGTGCCTTCTTTATTTACAACTATAGACTTAGAGGCTATGTAAAGAAAATAGGTCTTACAGGTGAGAATTAAGTGGCCTAAAAGTCCAGTCTGAGAATATCCACTAAGGTGGCTGAGCCATCCACGAGGCAGCTGGAAATGGGCTTTCACCAGAGTGACCTGCCTCCCTCCTGCCCTGCAGCCCCCCATCCTGGGCAGGGGAACCAGCTTGAAGGGTGCTGACCTCCTGCTATAGGGGTGTCCCCACATCCTACTATAGGGGCCCGACTCCCTTCACCTCTTAGTGCCCATTCTTCCTTCATTGGCTCTAGTTCTCAATTGTGGGAGACTGTGTCTGTCTATCTATCTCCTTCAAAGTTTAATTGTTTCAAACACACACATACTCTAAGGTGTGAAACAAAAGGTGGCTCAAAAAAAATCAAAGATTCTATAAAATGTCTCCACCCCAGCCCCCGCACCCCGTAGAGGTCCTCTCCCCTCCATCCCCCTGCCCCCAATAAAGCTCCAGGACTCAGGGGCAGGCAAGAACCCCAGCTGGGTGACAGGACCTTGATCCTGCTCTCCTCTAGCACGACCAGCTACTCCTCTGGATGGAATCCTGCACCCCACCTCTTTCCATGTTTGGTCACGTCCTGTGGACGGCTCCAGAGGGACACTCTCCTCTCATGGGGTAGACGGGGTGGAAGAAAATAGCGCTGTCAGCGGCACCAAGCAGAGATGGTCTGGCACGTCCTTGGTCTAGGGCCTCACTCACACTTTTCTCTCTCTTCACA